AGAGTGCACCCTTTCTGTGTCTCTAGAAAACGCTCCGACGATGATACTTCCGAGTTACTATCGAGGAAGTCATCAATTTTGATTAGTGTCGATAAGATAAAAATTTTGCATAATGATATGGTTGAGTCCTAACAGAGAGTGTCTACTCAATTGAAGGCTCATGAGGATGTCCTTTTTGCTAAGGTCAAGAAAAACGAAACACTTACTTCACGTGTTTTAAAGGTTATCGAGTGGAGATAGGTCGAAATAAAGAACTTGTGGACAAAATTACTATGTTAGAAAGGGAGTTTTCTCAACATAAGAGTCAATTGAACAATCTGAAGAACAATATGTTAGATAGTTATGAGGATGACTTCGAAAAAGTCGTGCGTCAAACTGTCTTATTCTTCCCCGAGTTCGATGTTGCTCATTTTGACATTGAAAGGGGTGTTCGCGATGGAGAGTTAATATATGATAGTTAGTAAGAACGACATTAGTATTTTTCTTTTTTTGTATATCTTAAACTTATGTATAACTTTGGACATTTTCAGTACTTGTTTCAGCATGCAGTGGTGGATCTTCTGAGGGAGGTCGTGACCCCCCCAAAGTTTTGTAATTTCCATGTAATTTATGATTTTGCCCCCCCCCCTCCACCCCCCAAACATAATGAATATTTAATATATTTACTTGGATATTTATAATTTTATCCTCTCAGTCTCTCCTCTGTTTTGTAACTCTCATATAATTTATGATTTTATCCCCCTCAAACTTAATGATCATTTAATATATTTATACTCTTCTCCTCGAGTAGGTGTGAGACATTCATATTGTGTGATGCGTCAATACTTGTAGACCTGAGTAAGGTTGTGACTAACTGTAATATGACTTTATATATGTTGTGTTCCAAGTGCGCGACACAAGCCTTTCGTTCGACTCTTATAATTTATATGCACCATTGTGTAGTGAGTCAGTAATGCGAAATGATTCATCCTAATTAGGAACGAACTTTCCCTCCGTGTGATTTTCGGGCTTCTCCGACCTTTCTCCATACTAGGTCTCATTTATTGAAGTTTCTTTTTTAGAAAATGATACTTTGACAACCCAAATCCATACAATTCCTATAAACAACTCTCTTTTAATATTATAATAATAGTTTTACTTTAGTTTTATTTTTATTAAATCATTCTATAGATTATTATATTAATAAAAGTGAGTTGTTTGAAAGTTTGTATGATTTCTGGTTGTCAAAATATCACCACTCTTCTTTTTTTGACCCTAGAGTTGTAAACAGAGAATGACACCATTGTTGGTGTATAGATTGACCTGGGCCTTGTAGATTGTTATGTGCTATTTGAGATTCGTCGTATTTTTTTTATGTCCAGAGGCTCCCAATTAGGTGGGAGGGGCATTTCCATAATTTTTGGGATGAATGAGTGATCATTGTCTTTTTCTTGGATTTCATTTCTTTGAGTACGTGCGGGTTGAACATGAAACAGAGCTTGTACGGTAGGCTCTTTGGAAGGGAAGAGCCGAGTTATTGCCTCCTTAGTGTGTTCGCGCCTTCCGTGTTCCCTCGAGTGGTTTGTACTCTTTGAGAGCAGCATTTTGCTGCTCGGTCTTGGTGGAATTTCTGATCTTTGGACTAGACTTTTAGCTTGTTTTGGACCTCTGACTTTCGAACATGTTTTGTTAGTTGGAGCTAGGGATTATCCGGTATGGGGTTGGTCCGATGTTACGACTCCTTTGTGTGCATTCGACTTGGTTGTTCATGGTCATTGGAGTAAGGTTTTCACCTCATTATGTAGGGTTTGAAGTTCAGTTTGGTGTTGACTCCCAATTAACTGTAATTTTTCGGTTATCTTTTGTTGAGTTGCTTGATGTTGCTTCCATACTACTGTCTTTTGTTGGACTTGTAGTAGTTAAGTGTTATTCTGTTCTTGCAAATTTTTTATCTCCTCTTGAGTTTTTTATTGACACTCGTCTATGTGTTTCTTGAGATTGTCGATAAGGACTGTGGGATTCATGTTGTCGTTGGAATTTGACACTGTCTACTTACGAGTTAAAACCATAAGGTGGAAGAGATCATAGGGATCGTTTTACTGGGGTTCTACGGTGGGTGTCAAATATTCTTATCTAACTGAAAATTATCAACAAGACGTTCAACAAACTAAAGATGATTGACAAGACTGGAAGATGAAGCCGATTGATCGATTTTCAAACCAACTTTGAAAACGATCATCAGGGAACCGTAGAAGTTCACTTACAAAAGACACTCCAATGATCACGTTAGCTTTTAAATAAGAGAGCAATATATATAAGAACGTGTTATGAGAATGAATTATGAGGTGATGTTTACTCCCTTATTAAATCCGTTGTATAATATTTAAAAAATAACAATAAATTAAGATATAATAACTTATAACTCGTAAAATAACAATTAATATAATAAATAAAGATAATTAAGAATAGAAAAAATAAAAATAATATTTTTAATAAATTTGAGCGAGTAAGCATATAAATCAACCCAATAATTTTATGCAAGTAGGTCACACGTTTAAATATGTTTCATCATTTTAACTAATATATATATCTTTTGCCATGACTTAAACCGACCCCGTTATCTGACAAGGTAATTATTTTGGAGATACAGTTTCTAATATATTGCAGGATAATTTTTTATACCCAGAAATATAAAATATAACCACCAATAGAATTGATTACTTCTTTGGTATTGAAAAGCATGTGGGCACATTTCTTTGAAGTGATTGCGAGTTAATTTATAGTGGTGATAAATCCAATTCTTCTTTTTGAGTTGACATACATAAAATAAGTAGAAACTGTTCAAAGTCAGGTTCAGTGGTGCATTTACTTGATCTTGTGATCTCACAGGTTCAGTGGTGCATTTACTTGATCTTGTGACCTAATAAAAAATCACTACCACCTGTAATAGACTATGAACTATTAAATAATAAATTTGTAAAATATCTTTTATTCATGATTAACTGAATAATTTATTTGATGTATCTTGACAAAAATCTTGAAGACCACATTATTAACAAATGGTGAGATCTTACATTAAATGTGTTGCATTTTACAAAGAATAAAATTAAACATTTAAAAATATATATAATATCTAAGAACTATTTAGAATCAAAACAAAACTTTTTTTTCTTGAATTAAATTGGACAAAAATCATAATAAAAGATATTTTAAAAAGTTACTGAGAATTTGTAACATCATATTACTGAACTCTCTTTTTTTTTTTTGAAATATTTAAAAACTTATTTTCAAATCTAAAAGGTTTTTAATAAATAAAGACGCACTAATATCTTTAGATTATAAATTATGATTTGAATATGAGTTTGAAATATTGTTCTTCATCATTTTCCAAAAACGTTACTAATATCATCAAACTAAAATTCCGTTTCTAACCAAAATATCCATGTAAATAGTGCATAAGCTCTATTTTACTCTTAAATGTTTATTTTCATCATGTTGACACGGGTAGAATAGAAATTGACATGAAAAAAAAAAATTATCTCTTTTATTTTGATATTGGAAAATTTTAATTTAATCCTTGTTATTGTCCTGAAACAATAGTATGAATGGTTTATTTAAAGAGTAAACTAGTGAGAAAAGAAACACTAGAGATTACGAGAAAAATAAAAAAAATTGGTTAGATAGATGAAAATAGGAAATAAGGACTAGGAAAAAAAAGAACAAAATCAAATAAATTATATATAAATAAATGTTATATTTTAAAAATATATTTTTTAAATAAAATATTTTTCAAACATAAAATTATGGTATGGTTAGTTTTAAATATTTGATAGACTATTTTATAAATTATATTTTTATTAAAATCTTAATATGATATCAGATTAAAGTTCTATGGTTATTTTTTATTATTGTTTTGAACTAAAAATTACTATTTTATTGTGGATAAAAATATTATTTATTATTATTTTTAATAAAAAACTGTCTTTAAATATTCTTTACCTAATTTGACAAACTTTAGTAGAGGATGTGTTGAAAGTACTAAATCATCTATTTAATATGATATGATATAATTTACATACTTATTAAATTATTATATTTTATTTTAAATTTTATAAAAAAAATAAAATGTAATAATTTACTTTTAACATTTATAACCAATTTAGAAAAAAATCAATCTAAATAATATAATAATAGAATCTATTATTATAATAAATTATTTATTGTTTTTTTAACCCGTTGTCAAAAATATCAACAGTGTTAGTTAAAATAAGATAAACGTGCTATATCGTTAGATAAATTTGATACATATTTATTAATATTTATATTAGTATATTCCAATAGAGACCAAGTCCATATTAGTTTGGAGTGTGACTCAAATATGAAAAGACCACTAATATTTATAAACATATGATAAACAATTTTAAAATATTATATTTTTTTATTGATAGAAAAAAATAAAATAAGATAAATAAATGATAATATAAAAATCTAAAACTAAGTTATATAATGGATTTTTTTTTTTTTGCGTTATTAACTCTTCTCAAATATCTCGCATGTTGTGACATTTCACTCCCTTCCCAAAATCCAAAAAAGTTTTTTTTTTTTTTCCTCTTTTTTGGAGGTGTATTTTCCCAAACTCCTCTCACCACTCTCTTCTGCACCGCCCTAAGGTTGCTGTCTCTTATTCCCTCTTCTCGGATTCGATGTTATATTCAATCCGTCTACTTATTATCACCGTTTTACTATTGCCTCTGTTTATGCTGTTCTGCTTTTGTTCGTTTTCATCCCTTACGTGAATGTATATAAACTTCAATTTAGTATCGATTCAACGTCACTATGTGATTGATTGGTTGATTTGGTATCATCTTTATTTGGTATTTTCACTTTCAACAAAACAATACCGTGTCATGTGTTGATGTGTTATTTCCATCCTTTTCATATGTCAACTTCTGTAGCACGCTGTTTAGTATAATTTTGTAGTACCACGTAGGGAGGACGGGGTGTAAGTTCAGAAGACAAAGATGCAAGCGAATGCAATGATGGGTTCTTTGCTACAACCTGTTTGGACCAAGGGGGTCATTTTCCCTGCAAAAGGGTATGGGAATGATTACGGATTTTTATCTCAACTAAAGTTCTTCAATGTAAAGCTATAAAAAGCATCTCATGTTCAAGGAGGTTTTGTCACTTGGAACCCATCGTCTTTGTCTTTCGCTGTGCCTCAAAGTGGAGGTAATTGTAATCTACCTTCCGATTTAAGAGTTTGATTTTCATGCGCTCTCAGTTACATTGTGAATTAATCTCTCAGAAACTTAGAAACTTCACTTTTATTGATTCTAACAGGATTACATGTGTGATTTTACAGAAAAACATTTTCTCCTTTAAAATCTAAGAGTCTCACAATAATACTCCTCAATAACATTGTTTTCTAAAAACTTTTAATTCCCAAAAACTATTAGAAACAAACTATTTAAACATAAAAGAGACATTTCAATAAAACCTAATTAACTTATTATTTAATTTAGAATTCATATTGGATAGTCTTATTACGCAGTTATGGTAAATGTCAACAAGCATACCATATGCAATAATATCAATATTTAATTGAATGATAGTGCTAAAATATACACATTGTTCGTGCATTCTGGTTAAATTTTCTTATTGAAAACTTTTCTGTACGAACGGTTAGTATCATTTGTGTCTTTTGAATGTAAAGGGTCCTACCTGCTATGTAGATTCCATTTTTTTGTATCTGTGAGTTTGATCTTCTCTATTTTTGGTTATTCCTTCTGTATTTATTGTAGATATGTTGCAGTGTTTCAAAAATGGCATTCAGTTTGGGTATGAACATCAAGTAATATGTACGTGACAATGTCGACAACTGTGCATGTATATATTTGACTTATTTTTTAGCAAATATCTCTTGCAAGAATACAGTTGCTTTTGAGTTTAAAATTTTGTTTCTGTATCATTTTCTCTGTTTTGGCGTTCAGTAACTTCACTCAGTTTTATTATACCGTTAGTTTAATATGATTAATAATGATCTCTTTTATCCATCGAATCACATAAAAATTGTAAATATTAGGTGATAGGAGTAGCTTCCTGGACCCCATGGCTTACGTGAAGCTGATCCTGAGGTTTCCTTAATTGTTAACAAAGAAAAGAACCGGCAGTTTAAAAGCCTTGAGCTTATTGCTTCTGAGAATTTTACATCAAGAGCAGTGATGGAAGCAGTTGGTTCCTGCCCCACAAACTAGTACTCAGAAGGATTACCGCGTAAAAGGTAAGGTCTGGTTGCTTTAACAAAACGTTTTTTATTTTCATTTTCTGGAAATAGTTTTCTTTTTTTCACATTTTCAAGATTTTAGGAAATATATCTTTTATAGTATCCTGTTTTTGTTTTTAGAAAATGAAAATATGTGGGGTTAATTCGTTTTCAAAGAATTGGAAATTTCATAAACAGTATTATGAGGTTTAAAGTAAATATTGAAATGTAATAATACTATGGAATGCATCTTTGCTTTTGCACTCCTGTAATTTGATGGATTGAAACCTCGTTATACATGTAAGGTATTATGGTGGCAATGAGTACATTGATGAGATTGAAACCCGTTGTCAACAAAGGGAACTGACTGCATTTCATGTAGATGGGAATAAGTGGGGTGTTAATGTTCAACTATTATCTGGTTCCCCAACTAATTTTGCATTATACACTGCAATTCTTAAACCACATGATCGAATAAAAGTAATCTACTTTCCTACACTTGATTTTGACTATACCAATTGACAGCGCTGTATCTAATTGTTTTAATGTATAATGGTACGTTACTAGGGTTTGGACTTACCTCATGGAGGACATTTGTCCCATGGATTCATGAACCCTAAAAAACGTGCATCCGCCACATCAATTTATATATTTTGAATCTAGACTTGATGAATGAACAGGTGTTTTTGTTTTCTTAAAATTGTTATAAATATATTGGCTCCTTCATGGGATAACTTATTTCATAACTCGTATTGGGATCACAACAGGTCTTATTGATTATGATATTCTGGACAAAACTGTTAATCTTATTGTATACATGGGAAGATTGCAGATGAAGTAGGTACTTTTCTTATGATGGATATGGCTCATACAAGTGGGCTTGTTGCTGCTGCATCTGTACTTGCTAATCCCTTTGAGTACTGTGATATTCAAGATTTTGCCTTGAGAGATTTTTATGTCACACTTTGTACCTTTACATTCAAAATGAAAGACAGAGAACTTGTATTTATTTTTGTACAAACTTGATGCATTGCTTATTAGAAGCTCTAAAATACTTTTCTTTGTTATATTTGATACAGCTGTGAAATCCGTTAAATATTTTTCTTTTCTAGTCTTTAAGAGGTCCAAGAGGTGGTATGATATTCTTCAAGAAAGATTCTGTGCATGGGGTTGAGCTGGAGTCTGCCATTAACAATGTTGTTTTTCCCGGTCTAAGGTAAATACGGAATGTCCTCTCATTAGTTTTCTCTTAACTATTCTGTGCATGAGTCCTATGCTCTTGAAGAGAAGATGAGTTTGTCCGCTTTATCTTAGTTTGTGATTTCGATAGTGTTGGAATGTAGGAATGCCAAAATTTCTCATACTTTACATTTCAATCTATATTTTGATATATTTTTCAACGTGGAAAGACATGATTAAATGTTTTGCGTGTCGATCTATTATGCTTTTATTCTTTTAGTACATTGGACATATTGATGAACATAACATCCGTCAGGGTGTTGATGGTGCTCGGGTGGAGAAAATTCTTGACATGGCTTACATTATCCTCAACAAAAATTCAGTGCCCGGTGAGACTCTTATTGCCTTGTTGCTTGTGTGCATCGGTTTGACATTTATGCTTCTTCTCCTTGATATAAATGTCCCACTGTTACTGACGTGTCCTTATTATAAGAGGTGATAAGAGTGCCTTAGTTCCTGGAGGCATTCGCACTGGGGCACCTGCAATGACAACAAGAGAGGACTTAGTGAGAAAGAATTTTCTCAAATTGCTGCCTTCATTCATGAGGGTGTGCAAATAAGTCTTGAAGCTAAAAGTTGTCTCAGGAGAAGCTTTAAGAATTTTTGAAGTTTGTATTGTCTACTGAATTTCCTTTGGTAGATGAGGTTTCAGGGTTGCGTCGAAAAGTTGAAGTTCTTACTACTCGGTATCCAATGCCGGGAGTCTAAGTGAACCTGATTTAACCAGCGTTTAAAACTAGGATGCTGTGAAAAATTTTGTATCATAGTCATGCTTCAATGTGAATCGCTGCCTTGCTGGTAATATTTGTTGTATGGTACATTTCCTAGCAAAATGCAGCTTTATGATCATCCCAAATATAATTGGATGCAAATTGATCTTTGATCCTTCAAATGTTCTTTTAGGGTCCTTGATCCCAGTGTTGGCTTCATTTTGCTCTCTCTAATAGTTATTATATGTTGGATGAATGGAAGGTAAATTGGAAGCGAACGGGCCAACTTATTGTGCGTTCAGAAAGCCTTATGATCACTTCTACACTGGAGAACCTCTAAAGCTTTAAGAACTTCTGCAGCAGGAACATGAGGGCATGACATTGAAGTTCCAGAGGATATGTCGTATTTAACTACTCGTTTGTCGGGAAATGTTTGGTGGATGAGAAGTGAAAGGATAATGTACTTAATAACACATTACTGTAAAAATCGTGTTTGAAAACTTGTTTCCCAACTTGAACGGTAGAAGCAATTTCCCATGTGCAATTGAGTTTTTGATCAACCTGTTTCATTTGATCGATTTTGATTTTAGGTTCTGATCAAATTTCAACCACGTAGATTCTTTTCACTTAGGCTAGCGACAATTTTCAATCGAAACGTGTATGAGAATCGAAAATTCCATAGTACCAAGAAACGCTAACAGCACAACCTAGTGTGCTGATTGACAATCGAAAGTACTACTTTTGATATTTTGTATTAAGAAACTCGAAGTAAAGATAACAATAAAGAAGAAACTATTGAAGCGAAGAAATAGTACTGAATATCAAATTGCAGAAAAATATAAAAATGCAGAAACCTTAAATTGCATTAAATGTAAATGACAAGGAATTGAAATTGCAAAAATGTAGATAACAGGAAATCGAGATTGCGAAAACAGTAAATGTAGAAAATCTAAGTACAGAATCTTATATTGCATTAAAGGTAAATGACAAAATTTAAAGTACAGGAACTTAAATTGACGAATGTAAATAAGTTATCAGAGAAAGTAAAGAAAGCGGTAAAAACAGTCAATGAGAATGGAAATCCAGATCGCCAGAAACTTCATGATTCGTCGTTCTCCGGTAGACTTTCACTTATGCTTCTGTTGTCTCTGCCAATTTCCCCTTCTTCTTCAAGCTTCGTTCTATTTATAGGCATCCTTCAATATAACCTTCTAAGAGCAGTTAAAAAACTGTCACCACGTTCCATGTGCATTATAACCGTTTCTTGATTTCTAACCTTAGTTTACGGTTTAGAAAACCGCTTCCACGTTCCATGTGCATTATAACCATTTCTCGATTTCTAACCTTAGCCGCGATGTGAAAAACCACTCCTCATGTTCCATATGCATGATAACCGTTTCCCTCGATCTCGATTCCAGTTATCGAGTCCGATTTCCCTTAACCTTGACTATACACTATAGTTTATCATTACTTTCATCGATTCGTTTCTCTCTTTTTTTATTCTCGATTTCCATTCTCGATTTATATGTTCATACTATCTCGTGGTCACCGGGTGTCTTCCAACCATCTTTCCGATTTATCAACTTTTTAACCAATCATATGATCTTCGATTTTCTCTCTTCTGTTTTTCGATCCTTGTATCGATTTTTCACTAACAAATGCCCCCTTGAAAGAATATAAATATTTGTATTAATTTTATATTCTTTCAAAAATAACTTCCGCCCTTAAACGTTCTTAAAGCTCGAAATAACTTTTTAGGGTTTAGGGTTTTTGGAGTTTTTTCTGCTTTATGTCAAATATCAAATCACATCACCTCTACTATCACAACGCGCATGCCACGTATTAATTACTCTCTTCGCATTCGTCGTTTCAAATATCCTAGTCGCCTCTTTAAATACTTTTATCAGTTTTTACCCTTGATTTTTACCACGAACCTCACCTACTTCTTCTTCTCCGTTGCACCTCTTCTTCGTCTTCAACCTTTCCACAAACTGTAATGACGACTTTCAAATCCTCCGACTTCTCCACCCCACCACTTTCCTCAGTAACTTCAACTCTGATAGAAATTAATGGAAAAAAGTTTGCTCCAGTCCCTTTAATGGAAGAGGCTTCGCAGAAGATTGTCGAGACTCAGGTACTTATTCCTTACGCCGTTGATAATATAGATTATGCATTTGGTGGTCCCATCCGCTACTGTAGAGGGTCGTTTTCTTCTTCCCTCAGTCTTCCCTCAGAAAGTAAAGCCCTTATTCACAAGTCTGAGGTTCGAATTGATTTCCTAAATGCTGTTTCAAAAGTATATCGAACGGGCCCTCCCCACAAAAAGCCTTTGTACATGAGATGGTTTGATCGAGTAAAAACCAAATTTGGGAATCACTAGAGAGATGTAGGGATCTTCGATTTTCTACATCTATCTCGATGTGATCTGTTATTTCTGGATATGTCCATGTTTCTATCCACAGTCCATTTATGGAACAAAGACTTGCATGCACTGGAACTTCCCTCCGGTCCCCTTTCTCCCACTCTTTTTGTAGTTGCTGCAATCACCGGACTAAAACCCACAGGGGAGAAATATTTTAAGGGTGTTTTCCCCTCAGATGACTCTTTAAGATCTAAAATCGATTGGGAATCGAAAGCTTATGGACATTTCATCGAAAAACATTTTGTCGATGATCAATCGGTAGCTGTTTCTGACGAGGAGCATGTGGCTTTTCTGGTATATTGGCTCTGTACCCACGTATTTTGTCCCCGATATATCCAAATCTCGTCCCATTTTTATAACCTTGCCTCTCTCCTCCATACTGGCCAACCCAGAATTTGTTTGGCAAAGCTCTTATTGACCCATGTTTATACTACTTTTGATTAGGCCGTCGACATTTTGAATACCCCAAGAGCCTTAGGGAATTTTTCGGGTCCCATCTGGTTTATTCAATTGTGGCTTACTTCGATCTTTGAAAGCATCATTTCCCCAACATCCAAAGTTTCCCCAAGTTTGAATTTAGAAGGCGCTCAATTATCATCTCGACATCCTCACCAAAAATCCTCCGATGAGGCTAGTTATCGAACTTACCAAAAATTTTTGTTGACCCAATTTCATTTTGAGTCAAACTTGACCCCTTTTACCGTATATCATGGAAAAGTTAGTGACAAACTTCGAGGGCCAACTTGGTTTAAATCAAAATTCCCCGCTCTTACTCCAGAATTGCTATCGGAATTGGTAGATATGTGGAGTAATTACTTGACCTAGGATGTTTTTGTATCGGGTTTTCAATCGAAGGATCTCCAACTCGTCATCTATTATCCCCAGCTTTTTTCGCAGCAGTTTGGATTAAGTCAAGTTTTACCTTTTTTCACTCTCGATACTTCCCCAAGGTCCAAATTAAGTGAATCAAATGTTGGGCGAGAACTTGCCAAACTGCTACCACAAAGTCCGATGCATTTCTATCCTTATGCTTTTGAATCGAATTATTTGTCTATTCTTGGTTTTTCTCAATGGTGAAACGATTGGTTTTCGAGCATTCATTCTAATTTTGATATAGTCTAATCGAAATTGACTGCACATCCTTCTCTCGTGTTGCAGGATAAATCGAAGGCAAAGAAAGGTACATACTCTCATAATTTCCAAATATCTCGATTCAAAATTTTTTATCGAGAATGCTACAACCTCCTTAAATTAGAAGAGACCTTTTATAATGTTGTTATCTCCCTAGTTAATAAAATAGATACCAACAGATCAAACCACAAAATAATCAATCCTCGAGGAAAAACTTCGTTTGAAATGTATTGTCCCAACCATCTTCCCACTTTCCCTACAGCCCCCTTTGGAATCGTCAAACCTTTAACTCATCCTAAATGGGTTCGAGAGTTGAGCTCCCTGAAAGAAACTATTTCACCCAAACCCAAGAACAAGGAAATTTCGATATCGAAACTGTCCTACTTCTCTTACTTAAATCTTCCTCAAAATCTTCTTCCTCCCTGGCTTGTCCATATCGACCGAGTCAAGATTTTAACTCCATCACCCTTTGGTGAGATTTTACTGCCTCTTTTGGGAGTATTTTTAATTTTCTTCAAATTGCAATCTAACTGTTTTCCTTTTTCGACAGTTTCGAAGCCTCACAAAGTCACCACCTCTGAGAAAGATTGGGAGTCTTCAGATGAATCAGATCCATCTGCCCCCACTCATAAGCGAAAACATTCTGTCACAATTTCCTCATCTTCGAGAAAATCGAAGGTGTCTTTTCGATTCCCTATTATCTTTGTTTATTCGACTTCTTTTTTCTATAGCTGATTCACTTCTCATTCAGAAACACAAATAAAAAAAAGTCCTCGAGCCACTCGACCTATCATAAATCCGTTATCGATGGACTCTAACACGGTCAGCAAAGCAGGCCAAACGACACAGACCACTCATTCGAGTCACGTAAGAAATTTCTTTTTTCATATAAATTGTGTATCTAGAATTCGACAAGGCATATAACATGATTCCAAATTTCGATGTTTTCAGGACCATCCATCAGCTACGGTATCAACAAATGTTGAGTCTTTGGTCCAATCAATAGTACCCATTTTTGAGGTACAATTTAAAAATTTTATTTTATTTTACGATTCGTTTCACATATTTCACTTCTTAACCTATGTTTCGATCCACAGCAACCCGAGGCTGTACAAAATCCTTCTCCCGCACCAACGCACCTCGACCTACCTTCCCCTGGTAATAATTTCTTTCTTTGCCCAATTTTACTTTATTTCTATTAAGATTTTTTGATTCATTTCCTCGAATTCATTTTCTTTCCAGATAATGTTGTAAATATCCCCATAGTCCAAGTTCAAGATTCCCCTCCACCATTTTTTGCGGAGCAACCAGCTTCCCCACCTTTTGAGATGCCATCTGTCGAGTTGATTTCGTCGACACTGCCTGAAATAAGCGATCCTACTCCAGAGGATTTGCCAAAATATCGAACTGCTATTGAAGAAGATCCTTTCTCAATTCTCGATATT